AAGCTACTGCCTTCTTCTGCACCTTGGGCTGCTGACCCCGGCTCGCAGGGGCACCCTGCAAGGCACAGCTGGCTCCTCTCCTTCCAGCCTTCCTCCCTCTTCCTCCTTCTCCTCCTCCTCCCCAAGCCCAGGCTGTAGCAGAGTTAGCAGGAGACCCCCTGTGCCTCCCCCAGATTGCTCTGTCCTTCCCCATGGGCCAGCTGGGTGCCAGGACAGAGGGACCATGGCGGTCACAGCAATACAGACCACCGGTTCTCTTTACTACCTGCCGCTCTCCCCCTTCTACCGGAGCTGTGTCCTGCTTTTCCATCCCTTGGGGCTGGAGTGGCCTTTGTGGGGGGGTACAGACATCCCCATGTGCCCTTGGCGCGCAGCGGGAGAGGGGCTGGAGCTGGCTGTCCCCCTGCTCTGCCAAATTCCTGCGGCTCCCGAGACCTCAGGAGGAGGGTGCTGCCCTCAGGGCAGGGTGCGTGGGGTGAGCTGGGCCAGAGCATCCGCTGCAAAGGTCGGCCGAGAGGTTCCCCACCTCCCTGGCAGGCTGCCGGGGCTGCGGGCAGTGCAGGGCTCTGTGTCCAGCTGGCAGCATCTCCCGTGGCTCCGTTCCCGCTGATGTGGGTTGGCAGCACGCAGTGTCACCCTGGCGCGGGGCAGGATCTGTGCTGGGACCCGCCGGCAGCGAGGGGATGCTCAGCCTCTGTGCTGGAGGTCCCTCTTGGTCCCCTGTGTGTCACCTGCCCCAGGGAACGGCCAGGGCTGGAAGAGTGTCCCTCAGCCCACGATCCCCCTCCCTGCAGTCCTCCCCGAGGAGGAGAGCCACCATCTGTCGCCTTAACCGAGAGCCCGTTCTGCGTGGCCTTTGGGCTGTGCACATACCTGATGTCTGTGGGTGCCCAAACCTCAGTACTAGCTCAGGACGGGATCTCGCCCCTCGAAACGTTTCCCATGGCTGTGAGACCCCCCAGGACAGCCACCCTGCTTGGGTCCCAGCCACCAAGGGATGCTGCGGTACCCTGGCTCAGCCCAGCTGTGGACCTTGCCTGCAGCCCTGCGGCTGGGCTCGCTCTTGGGGGGCTTTCACGTCCGCGCTGCTGCCAAACTAACGTGTGTGTCCCTGGTCACCAGGCCCGTAGCATGTTGCTCCTCCTGCTCCCTGGACTGTCCCTATCCTGCTGACTGACGGGGATACTTCTTAATTTGCCACCTGAAGAGAGAGTAATAAAACTGTAAAATTGCCAGTAATAAAATTGTTCATCCCACCAGCTGAAGTTCCCGGGAGAGTCTCTGGAACATGATGAGCCCCTGCTGCCAGGAATGGTGCCGGGTCTGTCCAGCTCTGGGCTCAGCTGGGTGTCCCCAGGAAGCTGGCATCGCCCTGCTTGGGGTCCTGAGAGCAGGGGGGTGTGGTGCTGGGCAGGATCAGGCCCATCTCAGCTCCCGAGGACCGGTGGGAGATGGGTGCTGTTACTCCCCTCTCCGCTGCAGTCACTGGGGACCAAAAGCCGGGGCCGGTGCCAGGACCCTGGTTCCATGGGGGGCCCAAGAGTGTGAGGGGCTCCATCCTTTCTTTCAAATGGTGGTGACGCTGCATGTGTGGCCCTGGGGGTAGGTGGACCCAGGTGCAGTGGGTTGGTGGTCCTGAGAAGTTCACACAGACACAGACAGGCACCTTGCAGCGTGAGAATCGCAAGGTGTGTGTCTGCTGGCCGGTGGGTCGCACGCACGTGTGTGTGGGTGTGAGCAGGGTGGGTTTGTGTGTGTGTTGCGGCACGCGTAGGTGTGTGCATGCAGATAGGTGGACCAGTTTGGAGGTGGGCGTAGGCAGAGCAGGTGGAGGTCACACACGTCTGCACACGTGTGTGTATCTAGGTAGAAGAAGTGGGCATCTGTCCCTACGGTCAGGGCAATTGCACGCGTGTGAGTGCTCAGGCACGTGTGGATGGGACTTGTGTGTACGTGCACGTGTGTGTCCCTGCGCAGGTGAGACGAGAGTGTGCATGCACGTGTGTGTGCACAACCGGAGTACGGACGGCACAACAGGACAACCAGGTATACAGGCGTGCTTGCCTGTGTGCCCACGGGCAGACGGCGTGTGTGCACACATGCGTGTGGGCAGGCTCTACGCGTGTGCGTGAGTGTCGCTGTGGGCTGCCATGCTGCCCCGGCCCCGCGCCGTGCCCGTTCCCTGAGGTTTAGCGGGGCCCTGCTGAGGAGCACGAGCGATCCCGTGCCGGCCCGCGCAGGAAGGCGCTAACTCAGCAGCTCGTATCAATACCGCTCCACTTACAGCGAAGGCCGCGTAATGAAAATCCGATGGGCACGCTGGTGGGAGTAAATAAGTATGCCATTAAAATGAGAAAATCAAAGCTCTGGACAGGTCTTTTCTCTTGCCCATTGATTTCTTTTATTACGGAAATATTGCTGCTAAATAACATTAGTGTGAACAATCTCAGCAGTGTTTTCCGTAGCGCCTGTGTCAATAACTCCATCACGGGCGGGGGATGCCCCCCAGCCTGGCCACGGGGCCGGCAGCCCCATCCGGGCGAAGGGCTGCTCCAGGGGTACCTTCCTCACCGTCTTCCTCACCCAGCACTGAGCAGGGACAATGCCAGGCATTTAAGGGTCCCACAAAGCAGCCCTTCCCTTCGAGGTGGGTGTTTGCAGCCTGTCAAGGAGCAGGTAAGTGTCCTCAGTGACCAGCAAATGAGAGATGGGTCCTGGACCCAGGCATGTACCACAGGCTCCTGCTGCCTCTGCCCCTTCCTCCCTGCTCCTCCTCACCCATGCCTGGGTCCACGCTGGACAAACACAGTAACCTTGCAGCGTGCCGTCATTTGTTTCACATGGAGAAACTGAGGCATGGGGTGGGAACTCACCCGCAGTCACCCACCTCCAGCACAGCCCCTGCTCCAGGCCCAGGTCTTGCGCTCAAGCTGCCCCTCTGCCCATCGGCTGCCCACACGCAGGCACCCAGAATCCTCCGAGATGCCCACAGGTGGCAGGGACATCCCTGTGAGGCTGGAGGATGTGACCAGGACACAGGGGACGAACTCACCCTTTGGTACCCAGAGGCCAGGTGGGACCCCAGGACACCTCAAAGGACACCAAACCCCTGTGGGCCGGCCAGAGATGGGCAAGAAGACTCAGCCACAGGCACCCGCACTGTGGGTCCGGCTCTGCCCCAGTGCCGGCTGAAGCAATCGCGAGCGGCATCACCCCAAGCAGGACAAATGCATATCGCTGCCCACCAAACACCTTCCCCCTGCAGCTCGCTCTATCTTGCTGTCCCTCCGCATGCAGTGGTTATTGATCAGCCCGCAGGATCTATCTCCCGATTTCTTCTGCGGTATCTCTCTGCACCGAGTATCTCTCAATCTGCTCCGCTGTCTGCCGTGCCCGTCTATACCTCCAGTATCTATCCGTGCCGCCTCCACCGCAGCCGTCGATAGCTGTTTGTCTGGGGGATTTCTCTTTCTTTCCAGCGAGGAGCATCACCAGACCCCAGCGGTGCAAAGGTGCCGAGCGGCAGGGCGGAGGGGACACAGCCCTGCTTGCTGCCCCAGGGAGGGCCTGGGCACGGACGCACTTCGTGACACATGTGCAGAGTCCCAGAGCGACTGTTGTCGCTGTGGAGGCTCTAGGGAGGAACTGAGCCAGCTGGTCCTGCTGGGCCAGGTCCCGCGGTGGCCGTGCCCAGGGCGATGGGACGTGCTGTGTCCCAGGCAGACCTCAGTGCTGCCACCAGCCAGCCTGGCCACATCCCCCGCCCCAGGCTTCCCCAAACGTCTGGGTTCCTGCTGGGCCATGGAGAAGTCCCATCACCATCACCACGTCTGACTCATCCCAGCCTTCAGCCCCGGGTTCCTCCTCGCCCCGGTGTGCAGGGTATGGGGCACAGCCCGTTGCAGAGGGTGCTAGCACCCTGGGGTGCAGTGCAGCAGTACCGGGAAGGGAGGCTTGGAGCCCTGCGTGACTGGGACCTGAGGAATAAGTCCTGGGGCATGGTTGTCCCTGTGGGTCCCCCTGAGATGGGGCCAGGTCCTACCTTTCAGGATCGGTCCCCTCGCAGGGGGCAACTCGGCAGGATCTTCAGCTAGCTGTGGACAAACCGACGCTCACCAAGCGCTGCGAGGTCCCTACCCCTGCGGCGGTGGGATGGGATGGGCCAGGGCGAGCTACAGCTGTCCAGCCCCGAAATGGGATGGCCGACAGCTGCTTTATCTCCTGCGCAAAGATAAACAGCGCCCGGGGGCCCTGCGGGGTCGGGAGCTGCCCTGCTCTCCCGGGGAAGGGGCTCGTTTTTCCAGGAGAGCCTCTCTGGCGAGGATGCTGTGCAGTGCCGGGTGCCGCTGGGCTCCCAGGAGCTCGGGAAG